TTCAAAATTTGTCATCCGTGGGATTTGAACTCTAGACCTGCCACTTGGAGAGGGTGATGACTAGACCACTACACTAAGTCGCCACATCTCGGTATTAAGATTTTTTTTTATTATCACATGTTTATATAAATATATTTTATGTTTTAGGCCTCGATTGTCTTGAAAAATCATAATCTTACCAAATAAAAAAATAGCTTTGAAGCATTGTATCAAACTTTAAACCTATCCAAAAATGGTGGATGATATTAAAGATTTGAACAAGCAAAAAAGCTTCCAAAAACTTGGAGCGGTCGTAACAAAAATACATTTTACTAGTAGCATTTAAAGTTTATACGCGTATTAAAAAAAAAATTAAATTAAATGTAAATACATTTAAATATTTGAATTGAAAGTAATTCAACTTAGAATTTGCAGTGGTAATTTTAATAATAATAATAATAAATTCAAAAATATCATGATTTTGTTATTATTATTGCTTGGATTAAAATTTAACAACCGATTACGTACATGATTTTGGTGGTAATACTAGATGCGGAGCTTGAAAAAATTTCATTGATGTCGAGATAATTTAAGAAAAATGACAACTATATCACATGATATTCGGTACGTGCAAACCATGTGATTTGGTACGTGTCTGTAGATCAGTTAAAACAATTTAAATTTACTATTTTTACACACTCTCTCTCTACTTTCATACACACACTCTTTTTCTTCTCCTCTCTTTTCTCCTCTTTCTCTCCTCCTCTTTTTCTCCTCCTCTTTCTCTTCTCCTCTTTCTCCTCCTCTTTCTCTCCTCCTCTTTTTTTCCTCCTCTTTCTCTCCTCCTCTTTCTTCTCCTCTCTTTCCTCTCCATAATATTCAGCTCTTTTTTTACCTCCTCTGCATCAAGATAGACTGGTTCTGTATGAGGAGCTGGTTAAGCAGTTAAAAAATCTGGACAGAGAGGTTTTTGTTGGCAAACTACAGTAAGTAAAGACTTCGTTTCTGTAAAGAACAACCTGCTCCTGCTGCATGGAAAGCGCAGGAGAGACTGGTTGGGGTATAATACGTTAGGCGGCATTAAAAAAATAAAAAAACTAATCTCAGAAAAATAATTGAGTATAGCTCAATGCCTAAACCTCTGTTATGCTTTCCCAACCAATAAGATACACCTCTTCGCGGTGGTTGGGACAAGTAAGAGAGACAATCTCTGAAACTAAGTATCTCAAACTTTTATTAAA